AATCATCAAAGATTCCTTCATTATTTGTTGAGGTAGAAACCGTTAAAGATTCCTTCACTATCTGTTGAGGTAGAAATCATCCAAGATTCCTTCACTATCTGTTGAGGTAGAAATCATCCAAGATTCCTTCATTATCTGTTGAGGTAGCAATCGTTAAAGATTCCTTCACTATCTCTTGAGGTAGAAATCATCCAAGATTCCTTCACTATCTGTTGAGGTAGAAATCGTCAAAGATTCCTTCACTATCTGTTGAGGTAGCAATCGTCCAAGATTCCTTCATTATCTGTTGAGATAGAAATCGTCAAAGATTCCTTCATTATCTGTTGAGGTAGCAATCATCAAAGATTCCTTCACTATCTGTTGAGGTAGCAATTATCAAAGATTCCTTCACTATCTATTGAGGTAGCAATCGTCCAAGATTCCTTCATTATCTGTTGAGGTAGCAATCGTCAAAGATTCCTTCATTATCTGTTGAGGTAGAAATCGTCAAAGATTCCTTCATTATCTGTTCATGTAGCAATCGTCAAAGATTCCTTCATCATTTGTTGAGGTAACAATCGTCCAAGATTCCTTAATTATCTATTGAGGTAGCAATTGTCAAAGATTCCTTCATTATCTGTTGAGGTAGCAATTGTCCAAGATTCCTTCATCATCTATTGAGGTAGCAATCGTCAAAGATTCATTCATTATCTGTTGAGGTAGCAATCATCAAAGATTCCTTCATTATCTATTGAGGTAGTAGTCATCAAAGATTCCTTCATTATCTGTTGAGGTAGCAATCATCAAAGATTATTCTATATAGCTCTCCAGAGGCAGTCCAACACGAACTCATCCTGAAACAGCCCTACGCAGGCTCTTCCTAATACATTTTTAGTCAAGAGATAAATACCAGTAGAGTAATGGACAACTGAAGTTCCTAAACTCTATTCCCCAGAGTTTTCCTCAAGAAGGAGAACAACAGAAACCCATATTCCCTAGCAGACTCCTCATTAAACAGCAGGAACAGGAACCCCCAAAGGAACCATGTGTGAAATCAGCATCTACTTTGGATGGCATCTTTAAGCCCATCTCCGATGACTCTGTCATTTTATCCAAACGGAATCTGTAAGCCCATTCCTGCCATCATCAACAATCAGTGTTACCTCATGCGAGTGTAAATTCCTGGGAACTCTAGTGTTCAATCATCTTCCACCTTTAGATCACGAAAGACAGACAAGCCAATCTACATCTTCAGGTTTATGAAGATTGAACAGGGGCAGCTGTTGTACCCCAAAATATTCTCTTTCATGTTTTCCAAGATTTTTTCTTATATGGGTGAAGATGAACAAGGTGTCTTTCGATTGGCATTTTGACAGGCTTCGATTGAGCGCCTAACCTCCTCCAAGCTTGCCTCAAATTTCTAACTTTGATTGAAGCCTTGTCCTTTTGCTTGTTTGCTGTATACAAGCTTTGACTGGGCATGTGTTTCCTTTGAAACAACCTCCTTCGATCTAAAAGGGAAGGGCCTCCTGTTAGTGCTCCTTCGATTGCACCATTGGCTTTGCATGCTGGCTTGATTCACAATGCAATGGCTACATGTATGCAAGCTTAATTCCTGCTTCGATTGGGCATTTGATTTTTTTGGAGCAAGCTTGATTCCTGCTTCGTTTGGGCATTTGGTTTCTTTGGAGACAGCTTGATTCCTGCTTTGACTAGGTAGATACTCCCTCTATGCGTGCCTTCAGCGCACAAAGCAAGAATCCCCTACAAGTGTGTTTCGATTCACCAACAAATAAACTCATGTATACCAGCTTCGATTAGGCGCTGAGTATCCTTCAATCAAGCCTAGTTCACAAAGCTCCCACTGGGCAAAAGGCCCCTCAGCTTGTCACCAGTGCACGTATGCCTCTTCATGCTTGCCTTGGTTTCACAAGGCAAAGACCCATCAACATGCCTTCAATTCACAAGGCAAAAGGCACCTCTCACTGGTCTTCAATTCACAAGGCAAAGGCCCCCTCTTCAGCCTGCCTTCAGCATACAAGGCCAAGACTCCTTCAGATTTGCCTTCGATCCACCAGGCAAAAATCTTTTTTTGATCCACCAGTCAAAAAAGTTTCCTTCGACCCATAAGGCATTGGTTACCTTTGTGCCAGCTTCGCCTAGGCAATGGCCCCCTTTGAAACAATTGTACACACTTTAACACGCATGATAGCCCATTTGAAGGACACACCTTAGTGGCCCATTCGAAGAGGACACAAAGCATACATATGAAAGACACTCAAAAGTCCCTTCGAAGGAGGCAACCAAAGGCCCATTCGAAGGGTACACAAAAGGTCCATTCAAAAGACCCAATCGAAAGAGGAAACTTGAGGTCAATCGAAGGGCATGGACTGAAGGCATTCGAAGGAGCCAAATGTGTCCAGGTTCGTTCAAATTCAAAAAGGGACAAGTTTCCGTGACTTTGGAAAAGTTACAAAACATCATTCATGGTCTTAAAACACCAACTTAATGGTTGTTTACTCTTTTTCCTTCTTGCCCCCTCCATCCCCTCTATATAAGGAGACCACATACATATGCACAAGGTGGAGACACAAGCCCAGGGGAACCATACACACTATACGCACACGTTGCCTCATAAGCCACCAAAATTGTCAAAAATCTCATGAGTAATCCAAATCGAAGGAATCTTCAACAACACTCCACTCACTCCTTGAAGTTTACAGAGAACGTGCCCAAGCACTAGGCATCTCCAACACCACAAATCCATACACCACTGTTGGTAAGGAAAAAGTAAGGAATCAAATTCCATTTTTTTTCTTTGCATGTCATAGTCATTCGATTTTCATTAATGATCGAAGGGCCTGGGTGTGGTACCCAGGCCTGTATTTGTTTCCTTTTGTTTCTAACACTTGTTGCAGATCCAGTATAAATAAGGCCAACATACACAAGATCGAAGGACCTGGGTTTCGACACCCAGGTCAAGCTTTTGTTTTGTTGACACTTTTTCTTGTAGGTTTCAGTGCTTTCCTCCATGGGCAAGTCATCAGACGCCTCTAACAACATTCTTTGCTGGATCGAAGGTCTGTCTTCACATGATAGAAGACTATCCTTCACATGAATCGAAGGCCTGCCTTCACATGATCGAAGGCTATCCTTCACATGGATCGATGACCACCGTCCTTCATGGATCGAAGACCATCATTTCTTTGATCCAAGGATTATTTTTATTGCATTTATTCTTATTTTATTTTTACTCACTTCTTTTAAATCAAAAATCAAATAAAAAAATCACAAATAATTTATGATTAGTTTTTTTATTAATTAAATAAATTTCTAAAATAGTTAATTAATTGATTTTAACATCCTCTTTTCAAAAAGAATTAAAACAAATTAGAATGTAGGTCTAATTTTATTTTCTCAATTTATTTTCTTTGCATAAAAATCAAAAATAAACAAAAAGATTTTTATTTCTTAGGATGTTTTTTTAGACGTTATTTTCAATTTCATGCGCGTTTATTTAATTTCGCATTTTTATTATTAATGTATTTACTCATGGTCTGTAATAGTAACTAGGACTTTATTTTTCATATTTCTCCAATGTACCTCTCATAAAACCATGTAATAGCGTAGATTTAATTTTCGCATTTAAATTCCTATATATATATTAACTGCTAGTAACTAGGATTGCCTGACAAGACTAATAACAAAACGCTAGCAAACCTAACAAAAAGACAAAAAAAAAAGCTGAATATAACACACATTACACATATACACCTCTAGGGTACCCAACTTTGGTTGCCTTCGGAAATAAAACAGTCATGTCCCTCGAGACAGGGATGCTTTAGCAAATACCCATAAATCAAAAGATCATAGTCCTTCGATGACCCTACAGTTGCCTTTCGGTAAATGATCTAGTCCCTAAACAGAAATTGCTAAAGTGTCTCTATATTGTTGCATTTATGACTGTATGTCCCTTAGAATAACCCTCATACATCCAATGATGGGGCTACTTATCAATCAATGGTAAGATAACAACATCTAAAGGAGGAGGAAAATAATATTAGACCTTTTGAGTAGGTAGGATGCTCATAGTTGCTCGCTTACTCACAACAAAAAATCATTTTCACACATACACTTTCAATTAAAACATTTTTAAAAGTCAAAGCCCTTTGTATGCATTCTTATAGAGACGAGAATCATTACAAACACACTTTTCAAAATCACTTTCAAAAAACATCTTCCGCAAACACTTCTTTGAACTATTTTCAAAACCAACACTTTGTATGCATTCTTATAGAGACGAGAATCATTACAAAGACGTTTTCAAAATATTTTCAAACCCACACCACAAGCACATTTTCAAACAAAAGCAAGTGAACTAGCAAGCAACTAAGGGTCCGTAGATAACTACGGATGGAAAGGATGCTAACACCTTCCCTTTCCATAATCTACCCCCTTACTCAGAAAACACTCGAAAAGGTCTTTTTCTGTTCTTTTCACTCTTTCCTTAATTTGGATAAAAGAAAAGTCGATGGCGACTCTTGCTTACGACAACATTTGCGAACACCAACGCAAAACCAGTATAAACAGTCGGTTCTGCCACCGTATCACACTGAGCAAAAGCCTTCAAACATTCACTGTGTGAAACTTCAATATTCTAAAACGCAGAGAATATGTTTCCCATACTTCACAGTCCAATGGCTTTGTCAATATTTAATGATAATCAATGTGTGAACCATAATATTCGCGATAATTATAACAGTAAGCGTTATGAACAAACGCAAGGATACGAGAGCACGTCCTTTGAGGATCGTGAAGAACGATGTTGTTTAATAAGTCGAAAATCAGAGTAACATATATATGTCAGTCAAAGTTTTTATTATGACGAGATTCATTCTTTAGTGATGTCGAGGATTGTCAACAATAAATAATCAAGAGTTGTAAACACATACGAGAACCTAACCACTTCTAAGCATAGATTAGAGGCGTCTATAAAAGCCATATACGTGCATAACTTATCTTTAACCGGCAACATCAATAGAATCCTTCAACTCCTCCTGGCTGGCTAAATTTTCCAAGGTAGGTATGTGTTTTGTTTGGGTCAACAACTTGACACCAATAGTCTGCATATTATCCTGCCAAGATGGAATAATGTTGATTGAAATTCTGGTATTCAAATCTCAGATGTCCTAAAAGATGTCAAGACACATTTCTCTGAACAAACACACAATGACATGGTATATGATAAACAAAGTGAAGAAAAGTAAAGACAACATAGGATTGTTAACCTAGTTCGGTGTACACCAACACCTACTATAGAGGCTACCAAGCCAGAGATCAAGTTAACTAAATAGTATCAATTCGAAGTTAAACTCCCCCGTTTACAACTACTTACTTAATCACTACCCCTTCTTAACATTTACCTAAGACTCACCTAGGTATGAGACCCTTCTCAAATCTCTTTCAATCACAAACCAGTGACTGACCAATTATAAACACTTAGAAAAACACATAAGTCACACTTCAAAGAGACACAATCATTCACTTATTAAAAGCTTTGAAATGATTGACATAACTTACAACTCAAAAACAAAGTCCTACTCTTTCATCAATATGATAATCGAGAGGCTCACAATAAACACATAAACCCTAACATAATACAATGTAAGTTCGACGCAAGTACTAGGGTTGACGCCTTCTATTTATAATCTTCAATGAGCTGGATTTGGACTTCACATAAGCAGTTGGATATGACATAGGCGCTGCAAAATTATCTCCTCAAAGATAGGACATGAATCATTGGTTTCCTCAATCATCTCCATAATTAGAAACTAATAATTCTCCTTAAAATCGGCTTGAATCTTTTTAAATCTTCAAACCGTGCACCACATAGGATAGATAATATTTTACAGAATATTCTGCACCTGTAACAAACTAAAAAATCCAACAGTCCAGCTGTACAAAAACACGATGTCAAAAGAACCTTCATAGGACATCGCATTTAACATGTTGTTCCAGTTGATAGAATATCTTCATTCAACATATATAAGCTATGTTAGTTTTACAAAACATAATGTCAATCACAATAAACAGAGAAATAAAAATCTCTCCCTTTGACTTATTTTGGCTAAAACAACTTCGCACGTCTTCACATCTTCCACATGTAAATAGCAATAGCTCAGGTTTGAGAAGCACCTAACACACAATCAGAGACACAACAACAGCAGAAGTCAGTACATCAAATATTAAAGCAATAGTTAGTGGAAGCTACTCAACAAGAGAATACCAAATTCTCAACATATGGGAACATCATTTCTGACAAGTTTTCATAGCAGTCTAACTCAAAATACAAAACCTGCTAAGTATAGAATCCCAATCCAAAACACAAAACATGCCAGGTACCACTCCAGAGAATAGAACTTTCATAACTGGAGAGTACACCTAGGACAAATACACTTGGTGTACACGAGGAAGAAGATAAACTACATCTCCAAGAACAATCAACTCACTCCCCCTCAAACTCAGAACCAATTCTTGTCACAAAGCCCCAAGAGAATTTCCATGTAGCCTCAAGACACCAAAAAAAATTCTAACCTGAATAACTCAAGTTAGAAGACCATGTGATAGAAGCATCATAAATTAGAAGATCATGTGACAGAAGCAAAAAGACACACCAGACCAGACAAGATATTAGAACATCTTGAGCAACATCCTGTATATACCCAAAACATAAGACTCATCAGATGAAAGAACAAAAAACCCTTATCCCAGAAAGTCATACTCCCCCTTAATTTTTTCAAGTCAGAAGCAACAACCAACTACAAATCAAGACTCAATCAATGACATTACTCTCCCCCTTTATAGCCAAAATTCGACAAAAATTGAGCTTGAGTATGAAAGAACACACAAATGAACAAAACTGAGGGGAACCAAACAAACACTACACAACCTGAAAAACTAATAAGGGGTATTTAAATACCAAAGAAGTTATTATAGATTGTAACGATGCCTTGATGTAAAGCAACAAATGGTCAGTACAAGCAATTTCCAATAAAGATAAGATAATTCTTGTTATTGGTGCACTACTCAATTCAGAAGAGAGACAAAAGACTGATCCACCTCTCTCTTTGACCATTGAACAACTCCAACATTGTTATATCACATGTCTCTAGATGAAGGAACAATGTGGTCACACTATTCATAACAACCTACACACATGCCCTTCACATCCCTTGCCATACAATTCACTATTAGGGATAAAGAGACTAAAGCATAAACTATGAGCCATGCAAAATAGTTATTCAACCCTTCTGACTTCATCAGACAAGGCCAAGAGTGTTACTCTTAGCATTTCACTAAAGAAACAACCAACGGAGTAATAGCAATAGACAAGAGAACTAGAGAGTTTTCAGATATAACTCATTATGATTCCTGGAGACATAATATGGTGAGATGTCCCAACACCATCTTGGACAATGGTATGATCACACCAATGGGCTTACTTTAGAGAGTTCCATCCACCCAACACTCATGGGTGACCAAAAATAGTTCATGATGAATCCACATATAGCAGATGACTTCTTCACACTAGTGATTTACCATTATTCCTTGTTCTTTTAGATGATCATTTATCCCCCTCAAGAGGAAATCCAAAATCAAAACACTAATATGAACCTTTCACTTTCACATATCAGGTTAGATGTCATGACATTTGGTAGGACATCATTCACACGCACCACCTTCAATAATAATAGTAAAGGAATACTATAGTTAAGGGAACAATACAATCTTGATCGTCTTCAGGTGATCATCCACCTCTTGCCTCTATCAAATAGCCTCATGCACTCCTTGATTCTATCACCATTTTTAGGAATGTTACCACTGACCTTACCTACCATTAAATTCTTCTTTAAGTCAACCCTTTGCAAAGAGTTTTTGTCCCATCCTTTGACAGTTGTAACCACAACAACATGGAGGAAGGATAGAGAATCTGTAGCATTCCTCCCCATCAGTAATTGCTATAATTCCTAAACATCGTTTTTTCCTTTGATAGTGTTCATCCAGACAGGTTTTGAAATTTCATCAGCAATTAAACCAACATATTTCTCTCTACCAAGACCGTCATCCTGCTTAGGTTCCATTAGTGCCATGTGAAGAATTTATGACCTCTTGGAAGTAACTTGATGATGCAACTTTGGGAGTGACATCTTGGTTTGCTTCCTTGTTTCATATTCACCACAAATTTTTATTTTCTCCATGTTTAGCTTAGGAGTACATATGGTTGCTTCCTTTGGTTGGACTTTCTTCGTGCCTTTTAGGAGTAATCGGTCAAGTTTCTTCTGAAGTAACTTCATCTCAACCTATTTTGGCATCAAACATATGGAGGAGCAATTTGTTTCTTGAGGGATCCATAAATAACAATTGTCTTTTGATCTGATTCCCTTTATGAAAACTTCATTCTTCTCATCAGTTACCAGACATTCAGAAGCAGTAAAGTTGACTTTGAAACCTTGGTCGTAGAGTTGACTAATACTTATCAAATTTGAAGTCAGCCCCTTAACAAATAATACCTTTTCCATATTTGGCAGACCAGTGCAACTCATTTTTCCAACACCTTTAATTTCATTTTTTGATTCATCTCCAAAAGTGACATAATTAGAGGAAAGTGGTTTAATATCCACTAGAAATTTCTTGACACCAGTCATGTGTCTAGAACAACCACTATCAAAAAACAACCATCTCTTGTAGAATCTCTGAGCGCAGTGTGAGCTATGAGTCCATGAGTATCATTCTTGAAAAACCTCTTAGACTTGGTTTTAACATCATTATGTATTCTTCTGTGCTGTGTAATAGAGTTGGGATAACCGTATAGCCTGTAGCATAAGGATTTTAAGTGCCCAAACCTTCCACAATAATCACATCTCTATTGTTGATTCATATATCCCATGTACTTCTTATGATGTCTATGCTGATGTTGAGACATGTGGTTCAACATCTTCTGCTTTTGTTTCTTCTTTGGAGGTACACCTTTCAATTAAGACCTTTCTCCTTTGTTCTTTATAACTTGACTATCATAGCCAAGATCCTTAATCTTAACAACATTCTTCCCAATTAAGATAGTTATTTCATCCAAAACAGTAGAGACACTATTTTCTGAGTGATTTTTCTGCTGTCCATTCTGTTGTTTGAACATTTTGTTTGACATTCTTTGTTTCGATTTTTTTTTTTGACAAACAAACTTTACACCAGCCTTCTTTCTTTTGTTCTTCACAGATTGATAACCAACCCCTTGAATATTACCAACATTCTTTCTAGACTTAATAATCTTATCAAGCATATCATAGCTATTGTTAAGCATTCTGACAGACTTGGTCATATTATCAAGTTTTAAACTGGGTAAAAGAACTTCACCCTTCAGATCAGTGATGGTAGACATAAGCATTATTTTTTCATCCTCCATACCAGAAATGGTAGACAGGTGCTCCACTTTTTCAGACTCTACCTGAGCAATTATTTCCCTTTTCTCTTTTACTAGTTGATTCACCTCTTGATTTTTGAGACACAACTCCTTGTAAAAACCAGCAAGTTTTTCAAAGGAAAGCTCTTCACAGTATGAGTTTCTATTAGAGATATAGATTCCACTCAGAGTTGTGACTTGTTTGGCACCTTCTTCTTCCTGATCACTTTCAGAACCTTCTTTTGACCATGATACATACAGTCCTTTCTTCTGCTTCTTGATATAGATGGGACAATCACTTTTTATGTGACCAAACCTTTCACATTCATAACATTGAACTCCTCTTACTTGGCTGGACTTGTCATTAGTTCCATCTCTTCCTCCAGAATCCTGATTTTTGTTAATGTCGAATGACTAGTCCAATGATTTGTTCTTGACATTTGATCTTGACTTTTAGTCAATGTTCTTCAACACTGTTGAATTATTTTCCAATCAACAAAATAGCATTGGATATCCCTTCTTCAGTATCTACATCAACCTCCTCTTTTGTATCATTAAAATTGGAGACAAAGGATATGCTCTTCTTCTTTTCAGTTTTTTCACGAATCCCTAACTCAGAGGTCTATAGGGATCACATAAGCTCATCAAATTTCATGTTGCTTATTTCTTGAGCTTCTTCAATAGCAGTCACTTTCATGTCAAACCTCTTTTGAAGAGATTTAAGAATTTTTCTCACTAACTTTGCTTCAGACATCTATTCCCCCGGAGCACTAGAGGCATTGGCTATCTCAACAATATTCATATGATAGTCATGAATACTCTTATCCTCCTTCATCCTCAAGTTTTCAAACTTGGTGGTAAGGATTTGAAGTCTTAACATCTTTACCTTTTAGGTTCCTTCATGAGCAGTCTTCAGGATCTCCCAAGCTTCTTTGGCAATAGTACAATTTCTTATTATCCTGAAGATATTCTTGTCAACTCTATTGAATAGGGCATTAAATGCTTTGAATTTTCCCTCTGATGCGTTTTCATCTTTATCATCCCAGTGTTCTTCAGCCTTCACCATATCAGTAGTTTTCCCATCAGGACCTACAATCATTGGTGGATCCCATCCTTTGACTAGAACTTTCCAAGCCTTGTTGTCTACAGATTTGATAAAGGGCATCATACGAACTTTCCAATAGTCATAGTTGGTTCCATTGAGAATGGATGGTCTGTTCATAAATCCTCCTTCCTTGTCCATTGTACCAGAAAGTATCTTCATTGAGCCTCACCTAGAGTCAGAGCGGGATGCCTGCTCTGATACCAATTGAAATTCTGGTATTCAAATTTTAGATGTTCTAAAAGATGTCTAGACACCTTTCTCTGAACAAACACACAATGAAAACGTATATGATAAACAAAGTGCATGAAAAGTAAAGAACACACATGATTGTTAATCTAGTTTAGTGTACACCAACACCTACTCCGGGGGCTACCAAGTCAGGGATCAAGTTAACTAAATAGTATTAATTCGAAGCTAAACTCCCCTATTTATAACTTCCCACTTAACCACTACTCTTGCTTAACTTCTATCTAAGACTCACCTAGATATGAGACCCTTCTCAAATCCATTTCAATCACAAACTAGTCACTGACCAATTCTAAACACTTAGAAAAACACAGAAGTCACACTTCAAAGACACACAATCATTCACTGCTTAAAAGCTTTGGAATGACTGACATAACTTACAAGTCAAAAACAAAGTCCTACTTTTTCATCAATATGATAATTGAGAGGCTCACAATAAGAACACAAACCCTAACACAATACAATGTAAGTTCAACGTAAATATAAGGGTTGAAGCCTTCTATTTATAATCTTCAATGAACTGGATTTGGGCTTTCATATAAGCAGGTGGATATGACATAGGCGTTGCAGAGTTATATCCTCAAAGATAGGACATCAATAATTAGTTTTCTCAATTATCTACATAATTAAAAACTAATAATTCTCCTTGAAATCAGTTTGAATCTTTTTAAATCTTTAAACCGTGCGCCACATAAGATAGATAATATTTTACAAAATATTTTGCACCTGTAACAAACTAAAAAATCCAATAGTCCAGCTGTACAAAAACACGATGTCGAAAGAACCATCATAGGACATTGCATTCAACACGTTTCTTCAGTTGATAGAACATCTTCATTCAATATGTCTAAGCTAATTTAGTTTTACCGAACATAATACCAATTATAACAAACAGAGAAATAACATTTATAAAAATAAAACTGTCTAAAATTCATGTCACACAGACCAACACACATACTGGTAATGCAAAAAAGCTAGGGAGGAATTTATTCCTTAGATGGAAACCAATTGATCTACAATAGCCTGCTTCTTTACTAATCTACAAAAATAATATATATTTTTTCTGCAACAAACCGAGATTAAACACTATCAACTCCTGATCTCTTAACCATGACAAGACAACTCACACGCTTACTTCTTTTCACCATATCTTGAATACCTCAAAATCATGGTGTTCCACGTGACATTATTACTATTTGGAATTTCATCGAACAATACATATGCATAAGTGTAAGTAATTAGTCACATAATACCAAAGTATTACCTCGTCATCACAGAGTATGTTTGATATGAAACCTTCTTGTTTCTGTTTGTCAACTTGATACACACCTTCGTGTATAAAGTTCTCGATATCTTCTATTTTCTTTCCTGTACAGAATTAACAGAAGCTAAGAAGTTAATTCATTTATTTATTTAAAATACAAATAAGAATTCAAATGCAAATGCATCTCTATTAGAAGATACTGTGTCCAGCCAATTTGAATATATATTATCCAGCAATGTGGTCAGCATCTCAAGATTATCTTCAGACATTGTTTTACGGGGTTAGTTGATCTCCCGCACTTTTATATTTTCCAATTCTTTCAACTTGTGGTTCAATTACAAGGTTATCAAATAAACCTGGAAGATTTAACATAAGTGTTAGGCTTAAGTATGAACATCAACAAATTTAAACTTTAAAGTGTTTGTTAATTTCTAACTGAATTGATGTTCCACAATTCAAATGCTACCTATGAAGATCTAATTGGAAACAATAAGCCTTTTCCCCCAACCTATTCTTGTAAGAGTATGATCATTTTGTATATGATTGATTGATCAAGAAAAATATGTAATTCCCCAATACTTCCCATAACTGTCCCATATAACATCTCCATTCAGCTTCCTCTGCTCCCACTTGATCCTTCCGCCAATAGGATCTTCTTCTACCTCATCAGATACATCTGCGGCAATCGCACAAAATAGATATATTTCCAAACATGTCTGCACCAGCCATGATGTCAAAATCTATGTGGTATGATGTCGTAAGCCATCTCAGAACACAATCATCAGTGAATATGTAAAGTTGGTTTTAATCCCATCTAAACTTGCAGTAATGAAAACACTGGAGAGAATGCATAAAACACAATTAGATGAAGATCTTACAAACCAAAAAGAGAGTCATACGCATAAGTGGAAATATCAAACATTATAATCAATTACAAAAGCTCTAACATCATGAATTTGTCATGTAGTACCAATACAGGGAATGTCGAACAGCCACTGTGAAGAAAAATTAAGATACCACTCAGCTCGGTTTTATCTTTTCGAGTGGTAGAAATATGTTGACATTGAATGCTATTTCATTCTTATCTATAGTGATAGATGATATAATCAATTTAACATAAAAAATATTTCAATTGCACCCCAGGAATGTATTTGGAAATTCAATTCATTACTCCTGTCCATACATCCCACCTTGTATTTGCAAACGGAGAGAATCAGTTGCAACATTAACGAAGTTTAATATCATATTGAAGAAAAGATAAATTTGGAAACTGGGAGAATAAAAACATGTTGGCCTAAACGCTCATGTGATATCGCACATCAATAAGCTTTTTCATCTCCAAATCTGCGGTAAATCAATGACTAAAAGTACTACATCAGTTTTAAAAAGTGAAATATCTACAACCGTCAAAATAATAGTTTTGTTTCTAAATGACCTGAAGCAGGTTGTCCACGTGATATTACTCCTCTATGGCATTTCATCAAACAATACACATGCATCAATGAAACAGAGAAGAATATATACCAAACATTTGCAAAATAAACCACAAACATTTACAAAATATTCTTTTTGCAAAAGAATTTGTGCTTACCACGTCATCTAATGAGTGAATAACACTGTTGACTTCTTCAGCACTTCCAAAAGTCCCAAATCCAAAGCCTATAGACCTTCCACTATATATTGAAATCTCGCTGCAATCAATCTCACCGCCGGTTTTCCACCTTAGATCTCCAAAAAATTTAAACCAATCAGACCCAGATCCTAAACTATAAAAAGTGAACATTTTCTTACCAAATTGCTTTCTCCACGAACACTATCTCTATCAGTGTAACAATCTTCTTCCACCATTTCTTACAATAAACAGAAGCCATTAGAAATTACATCGTCGGAGAGTCTTCCCCCTTTTGCGTGAGCCAACACCAACTAATAAACCTGAAACAACAAACACAAAATCAAAATCAAAATCGAAAGAGAGAGAAGACAAAGAAATTGGAAGCCCAATGAAATTAAGAGTGAGAAGACGATTGAAAGAGAGAGAAGAAGGAGAAAGAACATATGCAGTAAAAGTTAGTTTGTAGAAGGACAAGTGATAAGAGTACCGATGAAAAGCATAGAAAGAGTTACGTTGTATAACCATTCCATCTGTATCGATGGGACACATCAGGTTCTGTGCAAAGTTTGCAGAAAGCAGTCCTCTAAAGCATCAACCAAGAAACGTGATTTAGTTGGAGAAATAACATATGCATTAACCAAATATGCATTAACCAAGTTTAGGTGGACATGAAACAAAAGGCAGAAATGAGATAAAGAGCTAGTTGAAGACCAAGTGTCAGTTGGATAATCATGATAGAGTCACACAAAGACATCTTTTGATAGAAAAGCGTTAATGTGGATTATCAAGAGTAAAGCTTATTGTAATACGATGAGAGAACTGACTTTTCAATTTGTATTTTATCGCAAATGTTACGGATAGCAAGAGTCACTATCGATTTTTCTTTTATCTAATGAAAGAAATGGTGAAAAGAACAGAAAATATCTTTTGAGAATTTTTTTGAGTAATGGGGATAGGTTATGAAAAAGGAATTTATTAACACCCTTTTCATATGTAGTTATCTACGGGCTCTTAATTGCTAGCTCACTTCTTGAAATGCTTTGTGTTTGTGTATGTTTGAAAATATTTTGAAAATGTTTAAGTGTGATAATTTTGTAATGATTCTCATATCGTTGAGAATGTATACAAAATACTTGTTTTGAAAATATTTATTGAAAGAAAGTGTTGTTTTGTGGAAAGGTGTTTTGGAAATGCCAATGTAAGACAATTTGCTTTATAATAATCCTTGTATCAGTCATCAAGACTGTTTATAAAGCGCCAATGGCTGCGGGTTACTGAAGGAAGACATTCAACGCCTGATGGATGAACATGTAATTTTGATTGAGAAAGTTCTGTATGCTGAGAATTTGTGTCGAGACTTGTCTGTCATATCTAGTACTCCTTTCAAGATCATTTCTAAGGGTCATGTATATTTGACCAGTCAACTCTTGAATATCTTTTAGTATCTGAGATCTCGTGAGAATGTCTTGAAGAAAATGAGAGGATAAATTTTTGGATACAACAGTTATGTTGGTCTTTTCTAGAACTATTAAGATTCTTATATAATAGATAGTTCAAATACATAGAAATTAGTGGCGGAGTAATGAATTAAAATAATTAATATATTAAATAATATTTATTAAAAAAAATTAAAAATTGTTTAAATGAAATTTTATTCAAAATTTAGTGTCTAAATATATAATTTGTTTTAATATATTAAAAATATTTAAACACAAATAATATGTTAGTTTAATATTTAAATAATTGGAATCAATTCATGTTGATACTCCCTATAATGATTACATGCAACAGTTTTTGTAAGGACACTAGTAACAAGAATCACGCTGAAAAATGTGAAAAATTGAGAATAACTTTTAAATATAAAGAACTGTAGCACTCCCTCTTAAATCTTGATAAGGTATGTGAATTATTAAATTACAAAGATAATATTGTTTAATGATATCAAACAAAGTATTGAAAAGAAATAAAATATGTTGTCTAGAAGGAAAGGCTATTTAAGTCTTTCATGTGATAAATGTTGAACATGGTCAAGCACTCAACTCAAGCCATCGAAAGAGATTCATGAATTTGAATTGAAATCATCATGTGGGACTAACTGGGGTAGTGCAAAATAAGATAGGCTGCTTTTCTCTCATCGTCAAATTTGATTCAACAAAAAAATTCAACTAGACCACTTGGTGACTTTATAATGTGATTTAGTATAAATCTCAATTAACCTAATAATATTTATTTCTGGATTAATTGTATTTGAAAAAACAGTGATGTTTCTATACAAAAACAGTGATATCACTTTCATTAGAAACAAGTATTTTAATTAGAGTTTTTCTTTTTTTATAATAAAAGTCCTATCTTTTGATTCATAAATAGAAGTCAATGGACACAAAATTGTGTAGTTATTTTTTTCTGATAAATAAAATTAGTTTTATTTTAAAATTATATTTTATGATTTAAGAGATATAACATTTTATATATATGTTTTTGTATTGTCTCTACATGGAGATGGTTATTTTTTTTATTGTGAAGTGTAAAAAGTTTAACATCCTTAAAGCTTCTATATTTGTTAATAATTTGAATTAATAATTATATCATGTGAGATATTTTTAATGAAGAGAGAAAGAGAGAATAAATAAATAAGGATTTTATTATTGAATTGAATTGTACAAACTAAATTATAAATTATGTCTATTTATATACAACTAATTTGTACACTAAGTAGACTAATAAATTCTAATTGAGTTTAGACATGGACTATTCAATTTGGATTATATCTTATATTTCAATATTACTCTTTATAATTCAAGTTGTTGAATCTACGTTAATCATAGTCGATCTGAACTATTCCTAATTTCTTTCTCAAATTCAAGAATCGGTCGATCTTCAATCCTTTGGTGAAAATGTCGTTCAACTGTGCTTCACATGAACAATGTCTTACTTAAAGTTCACATCGATTTACCTTCTCCTTTAAGAAGTGAAATTTAGCTTTAATGTGCTTACTCCTTCCATACAGAATTGAATTCTTTGTAAGTTTTATGGTTGACCTGTTGTCGATCTACAGCACAGGGGTTTCTTCACTTCGACTTCCATTTCTTCAAGTACGAATCCGATCCAAATTGCTTAACACGCAATATTTCTATATATTCAGCCTCACACACGATGACGATGCCACCACAGGTTACTTTCTCGAGCACTGTGAGATTGAGGCACCAAAGACTTGAAAGAAATAACCAAGTGTGTTTCTTTGATCTTCCTTATCTCCACATCAACCAGCATCTGAATGGAAATTAATTGTAGCTTCTTCGCTTTCAGAATCTTGTCGAAATAGAAGTCTACAATTTATCAATCCTTTTAAGTATCTCTGGATTCTTCTTGCAACCTTTATGTATGACACCCTTCACTCATATATTTGCTTACTAATTCAACTGCGAAAGCTATATCAGGTCGATTGTTACACACATATCTCAGAGATCTAACTATTTGTTTAAACAAAGTTAGATCGATTTTGTCTTCCTTTCCATGCTTCTCCAACTTCAAATTTGGTTTGAAAGGTAAAGATGCTGGAGTTGAATCATCCATCATGAATCTCTTGAGTATATCTTTGACATACTTCCTTTGATGTAGCATCATTCCTTGCTTTGACATTTGAAATTCCATTCTTAGGAAATAAGATAATTTTCCCAGATCCGATATTTCAAATTCCCTCATCATCATCATCTGAACTTCGACAAGTTCTTCAAGCTATTTCCAGTTACCAGCAAGTTATCGACATATAAGAAGATGTTTGTTATACTTTGTGCCACAACGTAAATATAGACACCATACTCATATTTACATTTGACGAATCCCAATTTGATTAAGTATGAGTTGATCTTCTTGTTCCATGCCCTAGGTGCCTGTTTGAATCCATAAAGAGCTTTGTACAACTTATACACCTTACTCACTTCCTTCTGAATCACAAACCCAGAAGGTTGTGTGACATAGACTTCTTCTCTAAGGGTTCTTTCAAAAAATTTGACTTCACATCTAAGTGAAATGTCGACCAACCTTACTTGCATGCCAAGGCTACCACTAGTCAAACAATTTCCAATCTTGCTACTAGAGCAAATACTTCAGATTAGTCAAGTCCTACTCTCTAAAAAGATTATCGATCTACCATTCCTGCCTTATGTCTCACTAAAGACCCGTCAACATTGTGTTTCAACTTGAACACTCACTTTACTTTGATAGCTTTTGTGTGTGTTGACAATTCCACTAACCCTCATGTGTTGTTTCTTTCAATTGCCTGTAACTTTTCGACCATAACTAACTTCCATTGTTTACTCGTTAAAGCCTCGCTATAGTTATTTGGTTCAACACTTACAAGCAAAGCAAAATGAACTAATTTTCCATCTGGTGTTACTTCATCATCACCAGTCACTTCATAGTCTTGAAATATTGTTGGACGAACTCTAGTTCTCTTCAAATTTGACTGTGTCAAGAATGTCAGCAATTACTTTGACTTCGACTAGAATATCAGAAATTTCTTCAACTTCGACTTCATCATTTTCTTCGTCAAATCTATAGCTCATCAATGGCTTGTTAATTTCATCATCAGAATTCCAATCCTAGGCAGAATTCTCATCAATCACAATGTCTCGATTTATTAAAATTTTCTTATTTATTGGATTGAATAGCCAGTATGCCCCAGTTTTATGATATCCTACAAAAATCATAGGTTCACTCTTGTCATCAAGCTTCATTCTTCTTGCATCAGGAACATACTTTCTAAACACCTTCAGATGACTCACTGATGATTGTTTGTCACTCTACACTTCTTCATCAACCTTGTTCTTCAATTTCTTGGTAGGACATCTGTTTAGAATATAAACAGTAGTGGAAACAGCTTCATCCCATAAGGATTTTGAAAAATTATTCTGCTTCAGCATACATCTCGCCATATCCAATATGCTCATGTTTCTTCTTTCTGTAATTCCAATATGTTGAGGCATATAAGGAGCAGTTACTTCATGATCGACACCATATTCTGCACATAACTCTTTAAACATCTTGGACATGTAATCACCATCTCCATATGTTCGCAGAATTTTAATCTTCTTTTCACTCTGGTTTTCGACAAGTATCTTGAATCTCTTAAATATTTCGAATACTTTGTCTTTTTGCTTGATCACATAGATCTAGAGTTTTCTATTGTACTCATCAAAAAATAAGAGAAAATACCTATTTTTGCTAATGGTATGTTCTTCGAACGGGCCACATACATATGAATGTACAACATCGAGTATGCAGGAGGATCTCATTGGCATAGTCGAGACAAAATACTTTATGGATTGCTTTTCGACTAGAGAACCTTCACAGAGTTTGTCGAGCATCTCAAGACTTGGTCTGCCAATTACTATATCTTGAGTAATCAGTTTATTGAGTGATCTAAAGTTCAAGTGACCAAACCTCAAATGCCACAATCAACTATTCTTGTGGTCGACAATTGTTTTCAAACATTGTACCTCAATCAAACTGATCAAGGTCTTAAATGTCT